TTTTTTCATTTTTTACATCTTTTTCATCCTTGTATCTGCAATACAATTTTGATTGTTACATTTGCTTCACTGTTTTCACTGCTATTTTGCACTTCTTCACATATTTATGAAATAGTTTTATTGAATGGTTATTTAATTTTTTATAGTTCACTTCGATATACTTAGTTTTATGGTTTTTATAGTGTGATATCTTGTTACAATTATTCACTTATCTTATTGAGGAATGTAGCTTTCCTTCTGATTGTTTGCACATCAGCACTTTTTCAGTCCTTTATGGACACCTGTTTTTTGGTACTTTATATTCATATTGGTAGGTTTTTTTGAAGACTTATACACAGGGTTGTCACTCATGTTTTGATCCATATATATTCACATATTTTTATATTTATCTCAAACCTTTAGCGCTGTGACAACACTTTACACGCTCACTGCACGGCGCTCACCGCCCGCCGCTCACCACCCGCCGCCAGGTGAGCAAGTCTGCCGTTTGAATCCTGTGTACGGGTGGGAGCCCGCCTCCCACCCGTACACAGGATCCGAAACCCGTACTGTCCGGGTGAAAACCGTACGGGTGGCAACCCTACTTGCTACCATGTAGCTCCCCTCATAGTGCAGATCCCATTAAGATTGGCCAAAACAAATGTAAATTAGCCCAAGACATTTCTTTTCCCCCCTTTTTTCTAGACCTATAAAAAGGAAGTGAAGCCAATTATCCCTATTTGTCAGCAAGCTTTCTGGACATTTAATGATTTGGGGGGGGTTAAATATTTCAGTATTATGCCACACTGTATTCAGTCTTCATAAACAGTATCTACGGTGATAAAAAGTAAATCTGTATTTCTATATTGATTTCCAGAAGTTCTATCCCACTCTTAATAACCAGATCCATCTGGAAATTTGTAAATGTACTTATTGAAGATGCCCATGGGACAGGGGTGGCAACTCTGTCCTCCAGGTGTTGCCGAACTACAAGTCCAATGAGGCACTGCAGGGCTCTGACAGCCACAGTCATGACTCCCACAGAGGGAGGCATATTGGGATTTATAGTTAAAGCACAGCTGGAGGGCCGGGGTTGCCCACCTCTGCCATAGGCTGTACAATGCAGTGACACGATTTCACTCTTCAGCCCTGTGAACACGGACTTCCTTGTGTCACCATTCTCACAGAGGCGGCCTTCCGAACTAAAAAACCACGTCTGAACAATGTAACATCCTCATTGCTTGCTGGAAGCACTGCATGATGGGATATGTTGTCTTGAGAAACTGAGATTGCATCATTTCAAACAGCAGGGGAGGAGATGCAACACACACTGGTAATCAGTATCTCTACACACTGGTATCAGTAACACTCTAGTATGTATTCTCATTACAGTGCTGATGTTATAACAGGAGAGGAGATGCTGGGACTTGACAACTACTATAAGCATTTTTGTGGATCTTTTGCAAAGTTTCTAACCTGGAGCTCCTGCCAGATACAGCACTTGCAGTAGCCAAAGCCTGGGCCCTCCGGAGGAAGGTAAATGACCTAGAGACTGAAGGTCCCGGCCTCCTGGGATCAGTTCCAGGCACAGGTGTGACACTCCAAGTTTCACGCTGACAATGCTAAGCTGCTACCTTGCAATAAGCATCAGTGTTAGACGCCTGCCATGTGCACTCCTTCAGTTGGACAACGGGCAGCCCATTAGGTCTGTACAGGAAAAGTAAAATCTTAAAAGGGCAGGCAAGTCCCAAAATCAAGTTGGGACTTGCAGACCCAGAATTGCCTTCTGCAGACCCGATAGGCAGCCCAATGGCCAACTGGAGGAGCGTGCATGGCAGGCTGACAATGCTGAAGAAACTCCAGGTGAGCCATGATGCCAAAAACTTGATTTTAGGACTTGCATGCACTTTAAAAGGTTTCTCCGCAGTCTATTATGTTAAAAGGAACCTTTACTAAGGACATGGAGGCTGCCAATGTTGACCCACCCTCCTCAAAATACAAGCTGTCTACTCACCATGCCGATCTAGTGCCTTCTGTACTCCGAGTTGCTGACCTGGTACTTGTGTGCAGAAGTCCAAATGTTTCTCAGAACTGTTAACTTTGGTTCAGTAGCTGCTGCAATCAGACAGCCAGACAACTAGTATTTTTAGAAAGAGGTCAAGAATGGCACTCTCTCATTTCCCCCTTAATACAGATTTCCGGGAAGAGGTTATTTAAAGAAAGTGCCCAATATTTTCATGTACAGATGGCAGCTGTTCAGCCCTTTGCAGTTTCCGGCTGATTAACTTGCATAGGAATGCCTAGAGCACTATGTCCATGGCCTTAGGTGAAATGAGCTATGCGGAGTATGACTGGATGTTCGGAAGGTGCTCTGTAGGTACTTATGGAACTAAATAGAGGGGGAGGTTCAGTTGTTTAGCAAAAAAAACAACTGGGGAGGGCTGACACCATTTCTTGCTATTTCAGTCCAGAAAAAAAAAAAAGACAG